AAAAAAAAAAGACATAAATAAAGATCCATCAACAAATCATCCTCCCTCTGACACCACTCTGGTTGTAGCATTGAAACATTCCTGTGTTAATTTCTGGCAGATTATTACCCTGTGAGTTATTCAGTTAATAGACAGAAAAGAGGAGAAGGAATGGAAAGTCAGACTTTTTACCCACGCCCAGTCTCAGACTTTAGGGGCTCTGCCGGTGGGGGACCTCGAGGGTGTCCTCGTTTGAAATCAGTCAACTCAAGAAGGCCTGCCCTCCTCCCCACCCCCAAGGGAGGGCGGTTGGTGACAGAGCCGGCCAGGCATGGCACCTTTGGCTGCCCTGGGTTTGGCTGTGGGTGGTTTTAATTCTCCCTGCCGAAGCTGTGTCAGCCGGCCAATTTCTTCTCGCTTCTGTGTGGCTCCTGCTCTAGTCAGAGATGGCAACCTCTTGGAAGTCCGCGGTGGATGAGGAAGAGCCGGCGGGCAAAGTGCCCCACGCCTATCCTCCCTGATGCTGGGGAGGCCGAGGCAGGAGGATCGCAAGGTGGAGGCCAGCCTCAGCCAAAGCAAGGCCCTGAGCCACTCAGCGAGACCCTGTCTCTAAATAAAATAGAAAATGGGCTGGGGATGGGGCTCAGGGGTCGAGGGGTGCCCTGAATTCAATCCTCAGTATCTACGCCCCCCCCAAAAAAAAACATGGGGGTAAGGATAGGTTGGACCTCAGCCTCTCCCTGTCCCAAGTCCTTTCCCGGATTCTTAGTGCAATGGAGGCTTTTTCTTGCATAATAAACCTCCTCTCAGTGAGGAAGAGAGAAAAGAGGGAGAGAAGGTGACATTAACGGTCCACACTGCGCTAGGGACCCCGTTTTTCTCCTCCTCCTCTTTCTCACGAGGTCCTTGGGACATCAGAAGTCCCAACCCTGGTTAAGGCCTACCTGCCTTTGTGGGTGGGCGCTCGCTCACTCGGGTTCAAGTTGCCGCCTGCTCCTTGGGCTCTTCCCCTCAACACCTTCTGGAAGGTTCCGCTGTCAAACAAGTTGCTAGGTGTCTCAGAGCCCCAGGGAGTCGGTCCCAGGTGAACTGGCTCAGCCTGCTTCCTGAAATCGGCGCTATCTTTAGAAAACACCAGATTCCCGGGATGGGTCTGGACCTGGAGAAAGAATGAAGTCTTTCCTGGGATTCGTCATTGTCACCCGGCAGGGAACAAAACACAGGCTTGAGGCCTGAGGCTTGGTATCGAATCACGAGGCAGAAAGTGGGTAGTGTTTACAGTCAGAGCAAAGATTTTATTTTATTTTATTTGGGGTCCCAGGGGTGGAACCCAGGGGCTGCTCAACCCCTGAGCCCCTGTCCCCAGCCCTTTGTCTATTTTATTTAGAGACAGGGTCTCGCTGAGTGGCTCAGGGCCTCGCTTTGGTTGAGGCTGGCCTCCAACTTTTCGATCCTCCGGCCTCAGCCTCCCACCCTCCCTGAGAGCCACACCTCGGGGCTTCAGCCAAAGGTTCACCTTCTAAGTCTCTATTTTAATATTTTTGTTCCCAATTCCCTTCCACTGGCAAAGAAGGATCCATCTCCGGGTCTTTTCCAGCTTTGCTTTGCTTTTATTTGCTCCGACTTCGGCCTCCCCGCCTCCCTCCCCTGCACAGCTGGGCCAAGGCAGGGAGTGACCCAGGTGGTTTTCAGGATTTTCCTGTTGGTGACGTAGGCCTGGGACACCCTGGGGGGAGGGGGACGTCTTCTGGGGTCACTATAGAGCACAATGGATTGGTCACTTGCGGCAGCCATTCTGCATGCAGGGCCCTGTGGTGGTCTCCACGGGTACAAGGTCCTCCCAGTGCCCCCCAGCTCCACCCCTGGCACCTTGACTGTGTCCAGCGGGGTCCTTGGGGTCCCCCGAGCCCCATAGCAAGCAGCTGGGCAGGCTCCTTTGGGGTTCTTCTCGGTCCCATTTCAACACGTTCATTGAGCGCATCTTTGACAGACATCTACAGGTCTAGACATCTTGGACACCAGGGGGGCAAGAGGACAGCAAAGTGCATTGGGGTTAGGGATCCAGGCACTTGTGTTCAGAACCCCGGGAGAGCAGGCTGCGGTGGCTCACGCCTTGTTATCCTTGGCTGAGGAGGCTGAGGCAGGAGGATCGCAAGTTGGAGGCCAGCCTCCGCAACTGAATGAGACCCGGCCTCTAAATGAAAGCCAAACTAGGGCCGGGGCTGGGGCTCAGGGGCAGAGTGCCCAAACTCTGTGGCACTTTCCTTGGGGGCCACCCTGGATTAAACCAGGAGAAAAGTGACCTGGACTTCCTCAGCCCAGCGTGGCCAGCAAAGTGACCTTCGTTTCAAACAGCACCAGGAAAATATTGATCGATATCAATCACGAATGACTTTCTTTTTAAATTTTTTAAAAATTGTTCTCCTTAGCTCCCCGTGACAGCAGAGTGCATTCTGACAGGTCCCACCTACACGGGGTGTGACGTCCCACTCCTGTGGCTGGACCTGCTGTGGGGTGTCCCTGGTCGTGGGTTCCTCTGTGAACATGGGAAAGTGACGTCCATTCATTCCCCTGTCTCTCCCAGTCCCCTCCCCTCCCTTCCCTCCACTCCCCTGCGTCTCATCCAGTGAACTGCCATCCCCACCTTATTGTGGGTCAGCGTCCCCATATCAGAGAGGACATTCAGCCTTTGGTTTTTGGGGGACTGGCTGATTTCACTTAGCATGATCGTCTCCAGCTCTGTGCATTTACCATCAAATGCCATCATTTCATCCTTCATGATGGCTGAGTAATATTCCACTGTGTATATGGACCACCGTTTCTTTACCCATCCATCTGTTGAAGGCCACCTAGGTTGGTTCCATAGCTCAGCTATCGTGAACTGAGCTGCTATAAACATTGACGTGGCTGTGTCTCTGTCGTGTGCTGATTTTAACGAATGACTTGTTTTTGGTCCCAGGGATTGAACCCAGGGGCCCTCGAACCCCTGAGCCCCATCCCCAGCCCTGTTCTGTGTTTTATTTAGAGACAGGGCCTCCCTGAGCTGCTCAGGGCCTTGTCAAGTTGCTGAGGCTGATGCTGAGGCTGGCCTCCACCTTGCGATCCTCCTGCCTCAGCCTCCCGAGCTGCTGGGGAGTCATGCTTCATCACGTGGAATCAGAAATTCAGTGGCTTAGACCTACATCCATAGCCTCATGAAATCTGCCCTCGAACCTTAATAAAACGGACCCATCCGGGCCTCTCCTAGCGATGCCATCATTGTCAATCTGGCTGCCACCTCTGGGTCGAGCCTCTATCTTCTCTTTGGGGGAGTTTCCAAACCTTCCTCTCCTGGGAGGCTGCCCTTTCTCCTGCCATCGCTCTTATTGGAGCA